CCCAGATCTTGGATACAAATACTTTTGTCCAAATACCTTGCAAATACTTTGCTCCTTTTAATATCTGTTTAAAGGAGCCATATTTCCTTCAAGAAATGCCTGATCCTAAGACAAAGAAAGAAATATACAAGATGAGCCAAGAGACCTTATAATTACAGAAAGAAAATGCTAAAAAGAAAGAAAAAGAATTAACAATGGTGGGGGCATAACAGAGGGATTTGTGGAGCCAAAAGGGAGCATATAAATATGGAATGCTTTCAGAAAAAAATATTACTGGCTTATAACACAAAGCAGACAATAAGTATCAATATACTCATGAAGACATAAATAAACAATTCAAGAATTAAACTCAAGAGGACAAAAAAGATAAACTATGAAGAATGCAAAATAATTTATGGAGTTCTTACACCCTTAAGTATGTAAAACATAACTTCCCATTCCTAAGTATAAGCTAACTGTAGTGAGTTGCTTCCAAAGAGAATACAAGAAAGAGAGGGCGAGGGGAAAGGAGAGAGAGAGAATACAAAAGAAAGTAGGAGGGTTTTTACAGAGGGCCCATCTGACAAACATTTCCTCACCATATTAACAAAGAAAAAATCATGTTGACAGTAGAAACCTTTCATTTGTTATTAATGGAACTGAACCCAAGTCTAATCATTAGAATAAATTCACACAAATTCTAATGAAACAAGTACAAAAGTAAACAAACTCTAACTAGTATGTTCTCAAAACTGCCAAGGTCATGAAAATAGGAAATTCTGACGAACTGTCAAAACCAAGAGAAGCTTAAAGAGACATGGCAAAAATATAACCTATATCCTGGCTGAGCTCTGGAACAGAAAAAGGACATTAGGAAAAACTTTAAAATTCTAACTTTAAAATTCTAAATGAATATGGAGTTTATCAACAATAATGGCTCTCATTGGTGAATTAACTGGTGAATTCTAATATCAGGTATTAGTAGGGGAAACTGGGAATGTGGCATATGGAAATACTCTATACTGTCGTTGAAATATTTCTGTAGTGAAAGGTTTACTTTTTAAAGTGAGTTGGGAAACTTCCCTCATTTTCCTTTTGTGGGACTAGTTGGCTCCATAAACAATACTTCCAGTGGCAAAGGGTAAAAGGTTTTGTCATTACCTAAGCTGATATGAAAGGTAAGGCTGATAATAAAAGGTACATTGTTCAATATATGGTGTTGGAATTATCAATTCAGGAAATTTATTTTTCTGATGCATACCTCCATAACAAAACATTCACACCAAGAATTTGCATGTGAAAGACAATAGCAATACAAGATCTACAAGATAACAAGCATGAGTATCTTTACACCTTGAAGGTGGTACAGTAGATGGCTACTGAAGTCTTTTGTCTTGTTTTAGAGAATGTCAATTTTAGCCTAAGCTGGTCTTGAACTCATTATCTTCTATCTTCCTCCCAAGCACCAGTATTGTAAGGACACTGAAATCTTAAAGACAGAATAGACCATGAAGTCCACATGCCCCGTCATATGTGTACTAGAGTATATAGAACCAGCACAAGCTCAAACAATCTTCTCAAAGGAAAACATAGAAAATTTGTAAAATAAGAATGAATGGGATGCGTAAGAAACAATGGTTATATCATTTCCTGAAAGAGCTAAGAAAACAAATATAAAACATCTATAATGATGAAAGAGAGACCTGACTTAATAGGACAAAAAATACACAGAACTGGTAGACTAGTAATGTAGACAAGATTACATAACCAACTTGTGTTGGAGCTGCATTTGGATCCAGATCTGCATTACTTCCAGACTCCTCTTCTAATTCCACATATGTGTTTAGTTAGTCATTAAGGAGGAATCACTGTAGTATCCTGCATTGGATTCCAGGCCAGAAATGGGAACACAACTAGGAAAACTTGTAAAATACTAATAAAATCCAGAGTTTTGTTTATCGTGATCTATCAGCATTAGTCTTCTAGTTTTGACAATAACACTTTCGTAACATAGGTGGTAAAAATGTTCAAGAAAACCAGGTGGAGAGTAGACGACTATAAATTGTCTTTTAAATCTAGAATTATACCCTAATTATGACTTTGAAATAATTTTCTCCAAATGATGCATCACTTTTAAGTGAAGAGATTCATTACATGAAACCAAATTTCACAGAGCAAACTCTGATGAAGACTGATTTATAATAGGTTTATAAATACGTTCTAAAAATAAGTGTCTGCTTCAACTTATTTACATAGTTTTTTACAGAAATTTCTTCTACACTCTTTCTTTTTATACAGATAAACACAGAGACCTGTCAGTAGTAGTTTTTAAGAACATAAAATTAACTGATCGTGATGAAGTACTCTGCCTTTCTATGTATGTGACAGAAATTCTGTAAGAAAAACACATTTTAAATTTTATTGTCAAGTTGAAGAAAAAAGTTTTTAAGAAAAAAGAACACTTATAACAGCAAGAAGCAGATTCAAAGGAGCAATAGAAGACATGTCAGATACTGAAACAACCAGGATTTCAAAAATCAATGTGTTTTAGGAGCAGTAAAGCTGACATACATAATAAAGTAGAAATCTCAGCAGAATTTGACTGTGGAAGAAAGAGGGTGATAAAATAGAGAAAGGAGTAGAAGTGTATAGAAAATCAGTGGAAGTAGGAATTATGATATCTCCAAGGAACTGAGATGTAATAAATGATGGAATGGGAGAATCATAGCAAAATAAATAGAATTAGCCCAGATTATTATCATGCTCTAAGTTTTTCATTGGTTCCCATCACTGACATCATGAATCAGAAAAAAAACACACTTCCCTCTCTCTTAAATTCTTCTGGAAGAAAACTTACCCCTATCATGGCCTGGAAGTGGTTTTCACTAAGCCCCTTGGCTAGAATAAACATCCCTTTGGTAAACTCTACCTTCTCCTAGTTTTACAAATCCTAACTGCTTCAGTGATTTACCATTACACACATCCTTTTAAAATGATGTACCCCAAGACCTCCTTCAGCCCCCTCATCTGGTCTTTTACTTTCTACCTTCTAATATTTAATTATGCTGAATGTCTGTCTCCTCAAACTAACTTACAAACTCTCAGAATTTTTCCTGTTTTGTTCATTGATGTTTTCCCAGTGCTTAAAAAAAGTGTAAGTCACAAGTAGTATGTACTTAATAAATATCTACCTAGTCAATCAACAGAAATGTGTGAGCTTTAAGTACTATCATTAAGAGTAGAATCATTCATCACTGGTAACTTTTCTATCATCCTTTTTATTTTTTATTTTTTTAATTTTATTTTATTGTCAAGGTGATATACAGAGGGGTTACAGTTATATATGTAAAGTAAGAAGTACATTTCTTGTCAAATATTGGTAAGTGCAATTAGATTAATGTTTTTGACTGTGTTTTGGGGGCATTATCTACCTTGAACAAGTATACCTATTATGTTTTAAAGGGGGAGGTTTTGATTTTGTAAAGATTAGTCAACTGTCTAAGATCATTTAAACTCAAGCCCAATGTCAGAGTCAGAGTGAAAATTTTTGCAAAGCACCTTGTTTTGCTTATGAGCTGCGTTAGTATTTTGTTATTACCAGAAAAAGCTTTGCATCATAAAAACTACATGTTTGCATGATCCACTAAGTTAATGGAATCATAAATTCCAGCCTCCTCCTTTGGAAGATGAGAAAACTGAGACCAACTAGAGTTAAGTCACTCCCTCCTGGCAGTTAATTACAGCACAGTTCATGAAGTGGTGAACAGGAGTTCAACATGACAGGAGACAGAAACATTCCAGAAGGACAGAGGTTATCAACATTTCCAAATACAGTGAGAACTCCCTCTCAGGATGGTTCAGTTCACCGTTGGCTATATCTTTAGTTTCTCCAACTTCTTTCCACTCCATTGCTCAAAGACCTTTTTGAGTTGTTGCTTTAAGTTATTTGAACATTCAACCTTTTTTTTTTCATTCCTATTGCTAAGAAAACAAATAAATACAATGACTTTCCTAAAGTGTGATAGCAAATTCACAGGCCCATGTACCTTACAAACTCTACTCTGTATTCAGCCTCTGACTTAAGCCCTTTACTTCTCTGCTGAGAAAAGAAGGTGTGTAGCTTACTTTTACAAACTCCTCTCTCTTTCCAAAGGATGGATTGTCACTTAACTCTTAGGAAATCAAATGGAAGCAGCCTTCAGGGGCTGAAAATGTGTCACTTTTCTTTTCAAAGAGGAGGAATGCTTCTACTGTAAAACTGCACATGTGTCACTATTTTGTCATAAGTAAGAAAAAAAGGCAGTAAGTCTGGTGTTATATTTTCTTCCCGGTTGTGGCTAAGGCAGTTGATACACACACACACACACACACACACACACACACACACACACACTCCCTCAGCACCTACTAGTCAGATCTGATGTTTCAGTGCCGCATAGGGAGATACTTTGGCAAAGACTACTATAAAATGAAGTTGCTGTGGTCCAAAACAACCATATTGATTTTTAGTATGACTCAAAACACAAGGAGATAACAGTTTTGTAAATGGCGCAGGCTTAAAAGGGCAAGAAATATAAATGGTGCAATAAGTGTGTGGTGAGAAGAAAAAGAAGACAATTTCATTAGCAAACATCTTGGTGTCCTTTCAACTTATTTAATTTCTAGGAACAGACAGAAGTGCATTATCTCTCTTTATCTAAATGACTGAGATTGCTCAGTTAGGGACTTGATACTCATATTTGGGAGGCTGGATATCTAGTATTCCTTTTGAAGACAAGTCTTATAAGCCTTTGAATATTGGAACATTTTTTTCCAAAGCCCAAATAGTTTTCATTTTCAATTAATCTATCTTCCCTTGGCCACAAATGACAGAGCTATCTAAACTGGATTGTAAATACATTATTTACAAAAATATTATGGAGTTTACTGCAAGCAAATATTCCCCTTAAATATTCATGCTGAAGTCAAATGACTTTCAATGACAAGAGGCTCAGAGAAGGCAGCAAGCAAATAGGACTTACCATGGCCCCCTCCCTTGTTCTTTGTGCAACTTCTCGCTGAAGTCGAGCCACAGCCAACTTCTCCCTGGACAAACAGAAACAAATGGTTAGTGAGCCATTCCCAGAGTGCAGGCAACACCATACAATCTTGAAACATTCTTTTACAGTCTCCAGAGGAACGTCTTCCTTTTCTTCATTCACTTCCTCCATGAACATTCCATAAATATTTAAAATGACTGGTTATTTCTGCTTTTGTCCAATGTCACACAGAGATTTTTTTGCCCTGTTGATTAAAGCCCAACAAAGGTTGAATGCTGAGTTAGAGGCTTTGCTTTAAATTCATTAGCCTACATCATTTTTTATTGTTTTTTTTCTTGGTTGTTGTTGTTGTTTGTTGGTCATGGGGCTTGAACTCTGGGCTTGAGCACTGTCCCTCAGCTCTTCAGCTCAAGACTCGTGTTCTACCACTTGAGCCACAGCACCACTTCCAGCTTTTTTTTTTCTTCTGCTTATGTGGTACTAAGGAATGGAACCGAGGGCCTTGTGCATACAAGGCAAGCACTCTACCACTGAGACACCTTCCCAGCCCTGAAGGTTAATCTTGTATGTTGAAATATTTTAGTCGTCATTTCTGTACAAACTTTGCTTAGTATAGTTGGATTGTTTTTGATGACCTGTACAAATAGTAAGGGTGGAGTTTTTTGTCTTCTGGGGTTTTTTTTTGCTTTTAAGATTTTCTTTTGAGTTATTTTGGATTTGGAGTTTATCAAACAGAATCTCACCAAGTAGCCCAAGTTGGTCTCAAGTGCCTGGTATTCCTGACTAATGCTTCAAATGTGGGCTTACAGACATGTACTACCATCGTTGACCCTAACACCGATTTTAAAAAGCAAACAAAAAATGACTTAACATTCTTTACAGTCTGATAATAATCTTTTTTATTTTTTTTAATTTTTTTATTGTGAAAATACTATACAGAGGAGTTACAATTACGTGGGCAAGATAATGAGTACATTTCTTATCAAGCATTGTAGTGTCCTCCTTTGTTTCTCCTTCCCATCCCTTCCTATCCTCCCCCTGCCCTCCCCAATCCTCCCTGCCGCCCCCCCTTCCCGGACCAAAGTTGTAAAGTTCGTTTTTAACATAATGACTTGTACATCTCATTGTTGCAATGGGTCCCCCTGTATCCCTAGTTAAACAATTTGTTTTTGCCCTTCCCCTCTGCAAATTAAACCGACATCAAATACAGTGAAAGCAGGGGTTATACTGTGGGGGAGGGACATACAAAGCAACAAAGAAATAATCTTATAAATGTGTTAGAAACACATTTATTTGAATACATATCTTAGAAAATCACAGGTTTGCTATATGAACTTTGCTGTACTGGGCATTTCACCTGTTCTCATGGGCCTCATAATTGATCTATTTACCCAATTTTGTAGATAAGGACCCAAACAGACAAAGTAAAAAGTCTCAGCTGTGTATTGGCATGTACTATAATCGTTTTAAGATTAAGTTCTGTTTTTTTCAGGTTTCCCTACTTCTAAGAGTAAATAAAAATTCTGCATATCAGTTTTCAAGATCTTGGAATTATGAAAAATATAGACTTAAAAGTGAGATTGTAGTATTCTCTACTCACCAATAGGGTTTATTTTATATTCTTATAACCCTGATTTCACTTGCAATATACAAAATATCACCCAAATATTAAGGATATATTTAAAGTTATGGATTTTAATTTTTTAAAAAATTAAGAAATAGATGACATAAAGACAAGGAATATTTTTTCCTGAAATGCTCCAATAGGTAGTGTTTGCAAGGATTTCCCTGAAAATTCTTGAGATTTCAAGACTTTAAACTATATGATAATTCATGTCTCATGTATCATTCTGTCATATACTCCTTCTGGTCAGCTGTATGCAAACATACAACAGGATGCTCCTGGCACACGAGTGATCGTATTTCTTTGTCCTAATTGTCTGGGTCTTTCAAATGCCTCTTATCTCCAAGAAATGTGAAGTTGTCCTAAATAGTAACGCTAGACTTTAAACTCGGTGATGAATAGTATTTCTTTCATTTTAATTAAATTAATTTTCAATTTAATGAAAAAAATGAAGAGAAGTGCTGGGGGCACACTCAAGTGGTAGAATGCTTGCCTAGCACACATAGGGACCTGGGTTCATTCCCAGCACTAGGGGAAAAATATGAAAAGAAGAGGATGCACGAAGAGATAGGTGGCAAAGTAACACTATATCATAAACTACACAATTGGAACACCACATAGGATGTCCAAAGCTGATCAACTTAGAAAAAAAGAGTACAAGAATATAAGGATGGAAAACAACATGAATGGAGAATGATTGCATCCAGGCCTTAAGACCTAGAGAGCAGATGCACACCTTATAAATCTTATCACTCAATCTGATTTCCTAACTCGGCACATAAGTTACTTTGATGAATTACTTATAATTAACTTTGTCAATTGCAATGAAGAAACAATTACTTTGTCCCCCTGAATTTTTAAGTGGGACATGAGGGCAGAGGCCTTTAATTCAATGCTCAGAAAGCTGAGGGAGGAAGAGTATGAGAATGAAGCCAGCTTGTACTTTTTCTTTTTCTTTTCTTTTTTTTTTTTGAGAACATACCTTCAAAAAAAAGAGACCAAATAAAAAGCTCTCAAAAATATAATTTGAAATAATATGAACACATGGCTAACTCACTTGCTTTTATTTTTATTAAATATATCAACATGTCAAACTGTCCAAAAACTAGAGATTCATCATGGAGTGACTCCTTATCATGGTCCTGAGAAGAACCCATTGAAAATTTTTTGTGTATCAAGGAAAAAGTAGGAACTAGAAGCATCTAGGAATCTGGATAAAGGTTTTCAATAGTTCAACATTTTACAGAGAGTTTAAGCTTAACTACCTTTTAACTTTTTAAATGAGTACAATATACACAGGCAGGTTAAGAAATCTTAAGTGCACTTACAAGTTAAATCAGAAGTGTGCACTTAAAAGTTAAATCAGAAGTGGGCAAAGTAAATCCACATCTCCATGATCCAAGGCTAACGTGAGTCCATGAACTGAATGAAGACACTTCCTCATACTAGCCTTGATAAATTAGACAGAAATTCAGTTTCCACTGTGACTAAGGTACTGACTAGACAGATGTTTAACTTCCTGCTGTGCTTGGCTATGCTTGGCTGACCTATGTACACATTTAATTTCTATACACTTTCTTCTATTTTACTCAATTGTTCATTCAGCATATCTTTTCCACCTGGGGGAAGGGAAACAAAACTACATTTCTCCTTGATCAAATTAATGGCAGCCATTGATACATTTCCTTGGTGGTTAGTATTATAATTAGTATCTTTTGCTTTTTCTTATTGTTTTATTTTGTTTTGGTCTGAGATAGAGTTTCACTAGACAGTTCATTCTTACTTCAAACTCACCCTTATACCTCAAGCTGGCCTCAAACTTGAGACCTTCCTGCTTCCACTTCCAGAGTTCTGGTATTGCAGGTAGGCAAGATCAGAATTGATTTTATATCTTATTTTAATAGCTGGCTATCTGAATGCAGTAATCATATGTCATTAATTTCTATAACACCTACTAAAGCACATTGGTAGGCACAAGACAAATGTCTATGGTTTGCTGATGTCACATCAATCACAGACTCCAATGCCAGCTTGCCTAGTATACTAATGCCTTGCCTTTACATGGTACCTAACACATGACTGCACATACACAATCATTTCAACTGGACACCTTCTGCTTGGGAAAGGAAAGGGAAGGAAGGAACGAAGGAACGAAGGAAGGAAAGGAAAGAAACCCCTTTTTCAAAACAAACATAATTTTTACAAGAGTGACTGCTTTATAATTTTGGAAGTATCTTTAATGTCTTGCTAATAGACAGCAGAAGGATGTTTACATCTGTTTCTGTACCAATCTGTTGTGATAGCACACATAGTAAACTCCTCTCACGAAAAAAAATAGTGAATGAAAAAGGGAAAAGTCCTATTACTATTCTTAGGAGCAGAGTTTTGATCTTGTAAATCCACTGAAGAAGTCTTGGGGACTTCCAGTGGGCCTAGACCACACATTGAGAATATCAACTATAAGACGGATATAGAAGAAGAATGAAAGAATGTTCTGGACAATTGTTTTGACTCATCAGTCTTAACTGCTGAATCATGAGAGTAAGATTAAATATCTATGTTCAGAGCATATACATTTTTCACAAGGGGATTGACATAAAAGAGACACTTTTAGGAAGAGAACAAGAATCTATCATGACTATCATCCTACAAAATAAGAGTCAATGCAGAATAAAGGTTAGAAACATCAATTTTATGCTTAAACAATGTTGTCTTCATAACAACTATTAAGGATTTCTCACATGGTATAGGCACTTGTCAAATTTTATTAAATCCAATTTAAAGAAAAATTTTAATGGTTTTAGCTTTCACATACTATTTTAAAAGGAATATATTAACAAAGGATGAAAGAAAATTTGTGGGCTGCCCATGAATTAATGCTCCTAGGCATTCAATAAAGATTGAATGAACCAACATGAAAGAGCCATCTCTAAGGGCTTACATATTTAACTGTCGCATTGATGAAATGACATAAAATAGGTAGAAATGGTAAATATCAATTTTAATTTTGACCAGAACAAAGAACAGACATATGCCAAGTTGCCAACAGCCGTGTGATAATATGACAGATAATACAGGGAATTCTGGGTCACAGGAAAGAAAATTCCTCACCCTGGCACTGCTCCTGAGCCTCGTCATTTACAAAAGGGACTCAAGAGGTTGGGTGGTGAAAGAGTCGGATTTGCAAGAACCATAAATACAAATAGCCCTTTGGAACTATGTGTAGTGATTGTTTTTAAGTCTTTATGTAGGAAACATAACATATACTGTCATGAGTGGAGACTCATGAGAAATGAAGGCAAAATCAGAAGGTACACTCCAACCCTGGATAATTAATCAATGAGGTTTGAGCCATACTTCCTTAAAGAAAAAATGTCACAGTGAAATTTAAAAAAAAGCAGAATTCTTTCTTTAAGTTCAAT